TGTGTAAAATTGTAGACCTGCACAAGGCTGGGATGGGCTACAGGACAATAGGCAAGCAGCTTGGTGAGAAGGCAACAACTGTTGGCGCAATTATTAGAAAATGGAAGAAGTTCAAGATGACGGTCAATCACCCTCGGTCTGGGGCTCCATGCAAGATCTCACCTCGTGGGGCATCAATGATCATGAGGAAGGTGAGCCCAGAACTACATGGCAGGACCTGGTCAATGACCTGAAGAGAGTTGGGACCACAGTCTCAAAGAAAACCATTAGTAACACACTACGCCGTCATGGATTAAAATCCTGCAGCGCACGCAAGGTCCCCCTGCTCAAGCCAGCGCATGTCCATGCCCGTCTGAAGTTTGCCAATGACCATCTGGATGATCCAGAGGAGGAATGGGAGAAGGTCATGTGGTCTGATGAGACAGAAATAGAGCTTTTTGGTCTAAACTCCACTCGCCGTGTTTGGAGGAAGAAGAAGGATGAGTATAACCCCAAGAACACCATCCCAACTGTGAAGCATGGAGGTGGAAACATCATTCTTTGGGGATGTTTTTCTGCAATGGGGACAGGACGACTGCACCGTATTGAGGGGAGGATGGATGGGGCCATGTATCGAAGATCTTGGCCAACAACCTCCTTCCCTCAGTAAGAGCATTGAAAATGGGTCGTGGCTGGGTCTTCCAGCATGACAACGACCCGAAACACACAGCCAGGGCAACTAAGGAGTGGCTCCGTAAGAAGCATCTCAAGGTCCTGGAGTGGCCTAGCCAGTCTCCAGACCTGAACCCAATAGAAAATCTTTGGAGGGAGCTGAAAGTCCGTATTGCCCAGCGACAGCCCCGAAACCTGAAGGATCTGGAGAAGGTCTGTATGGAGGAGTAGGCCAAAATCCCTGCTGCAGTGTGTGCAAACCTGGTCAAGACCTACAGGAAACGTATGATCTCTGTAATTGCAAACAAAGGTTTCTGTACCAAATATTAAGTTTTGCTTTTCTGATGTATCAAATACTTATGTCATGCAATAAAATGCAAATTAATTACTTAAAAATCATACAATGTGATTTTCTGGATTTTTGTTTTAGATTCCGTCTCTCACAGTTGAAGTGTACCTATGATAAAAATTACAGACCTCTACATGCTTTGTAAGTAGGAAAACCTGCAAAATCGGCAGTGTATCAAATACTTGTTCTCCCCACTGTATATGTGCTTTCTTGAGCAGGGGGACCTTGCGGGCGCTGCAGTATTTCAGTCCTTCACGGCGTAGTGTTACCAATTGTTTTCTTGATGACTATGGTCCCAGATCCCTTGAGATCATTGACAAGTTCCTACCGTGTAGTTCTGGGCTGATTCTTCACCGTTCTCATGATCATTGCAACTCCACGAGGTGAGATCTTGCATGGAGCCCCAGGCCGAGGGAGATTGACAGTTATTTTGTGTTTCTTCCATTTGCGAATAATCGCACCAACTGTTGTCACCTTCTCACCAAGCTGCTTGGCGATAGTCTTGTAGCCCATTCCAGCCTTGTGTAGGTCTACAATCTTGTCCCTGACATCCTTGGAGAGCTCTTTGGTCTTGGCCATGGTGGAGAGTTTGAAATCTGATTGATTGCTTTTGTGGACAGGTGTCTTTTCTACAGGTAACAAACTGAGATTAGGAGCACTCCCTTTAAGAGTGTGCTCCTAATCTCAGCTCGTTACCTGTATAAAAGACACCTGGGAGCCAGAAATCTTTCTGATTGAGAGGGGGTCGAATACTTATTTCCCTCAATAAAATGCAAATCAATTTATAACATTTTTGACATGCGTTTTTCTGGATTTTTTTGTTGTTATTCTGTCTCTCACTGTTCAAATAAACCTACCATTCAAATTATACACTGATCATTTCTTTGTCAGTGGGCAAACGTACAAAATCAGCAGGGGATCAAATACTTTTTTCCCATGAGTTAGTATACAGTAACTGTATCCAGACACAGATTAGAAGATTGAGATTACGACATTTCATTGTGGTTCCATTATCATAAATACTGATAATATTTTGGTATACCACATGATTAAGCTAATAATCAGCAGTGTATAAACTATTTATAAATAATTGAAAATTGAAAACCCTTTCTAAAGTGGCATGTTTTTGTTGTTGGTTCTGTTATTGTTTTCAATACAAATTAAAATTCAAGGGCAACAAAGTATTCTATTCTACAAAATATATTATGGAAAGTTGAAAAATATTTAAATAATTAATTCAGGGTGAATGTTTCCTTTTAGGCCTCTGGTCTGAATGTGTCACACACCACATAAGGTCAAGAATGCACCAATAGGCCTTTGTTGATATTATAATAATAAATACGTTTCACCCTGCAATTTACAAGCTACGGCTATATTGAACGTTGTCTCCATGAACACATACTGTATCAAGTGATAAACCATGCAGTTTACCAGACGTCCGTGCAAAAAGGCAACGGTTTCACCCAAGCCATTTAGCCGAATTGGAGAGTGATTGAGTATGTGACCAAGGCTATGGCCTAGCATCAACAGCGCCGTTTGTCACAACGAATCCCCGGTCCTCTGCCTGTCACGCGGAGTTGCTGAGGGAGTCATATGTCGTCAGAACGCCAATTTGAGATGCCGGGGTGGCATGCTGTTATGACGTCCATCTCAACTGTGAGAGAATGACTGGGGCAATACCCTTAGCGACTGGCAGACAGACAGAGAGACGGAATGATTGAGTGACTAACGAGTAGACCGATCTTATTCTTATTATATGAAGTTCACCCCATATTTTATTTGAATGCATAGCCTGGTGTCCCACATGGGCACAGCTAAGGGATAGGCTGGTTTTACGCACAGACAGACTAGTGCGTAAAAGGTGGCAAAGTGCAAAGTTATGCTTCACACTGACTGAAAAGCAGCTCTCTCACACCATTTAATTCCAGCCGAACATTTCTTTAGAGGTAGCCTATTGTGAAAAACAAATAGATATTGACATAAAATATGCCACGTAAATGTAAGCCTACATTGACGACAGTTGTGATTATAGTTGTACATCTCATGAAACTGTGGTTTGAATAATAATTACTGAACTTAATCATAACACAGCCTACATGTGAAACTCATTGATATTGGTGAAAAATACATTAAATAAATATTTTAACAAAATGAAATTAATCAATTTCTGAAGAATTATTTAGCAAGTTGATACGGAGTTTGGTGTTTAAGGGTTCCTTTTTTTGTACTGAAAAAAAGGCCTACAGTAAATGTGTTTGAATTGTTAAGCCACTATCGGTACTATCTCTTTTAATTTGAAATATACAGCGAGTGCTAGACAATCCTATCTCAGATAAGGATTAAGATATTCCACCTAAAAGTTTTCCGTGCAATGGCCTGCTCTGCGAATTAAAACTGCCCATCTATAACGTTCATCGAATTAAGACGTCGAGGGAGACAGGAGCTGGAATCGTCTTAATATTACCGGTCCGGGTTGGAGAAAGCTTGCCGAGGCCTTGCAATCACCCAAATACCGGGAGACAGGTCCTGGTCGCCGCGGGCGGCACTTGTGCCCTTCCCTTCATTGCCACCGAGCCCTTAGCACGCCAGCGGGCCCCACTAGCCAGACCCGGCTCTTTACTGGGATATAAATGTAGCTCTTCATGTCAAAGGGTTTCTAAAGGGGGAGAAATAGAGCGGAGCACTCAACGATGTTTCAAACTCATTTTGTAGAACCCATTCATTACGCAGAAATTAGTGATGGATAGGTTTGTCAGTGTCATCTAGCCTAGAAAGGCTATGAGTGAGATTAGGTGCTAATTGCTATGATTTTCAAACAATAATTTTTGAAAGGCCTGGCCTACTGTACAAATTATATTAATAAAGATGTGTGAAAAGACTGCATTTCCTAAATTGTTATGAGATTATTTATGTTACTCATTTGGAAATCAATCAGTTTATTTATGTTTTGGTCGTATTGCATTCAGTCAAATCAACACATTTTAGAGCGAGGGATGCCTAAAGTCAGACGTCTGTAAACTACAATCATTTTAACAAATTGTAGGCCGAAAACTGAAGAATGTGTGGCAAATTGGCAATTATAATGCTAATGACAAAAATTAATGAGGGCATTTGTGTCTGAATCACCTGAACACTGTCCCAAAAATCAATAAAATCAATAAATCAGTTCTGTGTAAATAAAATGTCTAATTTTTATTTTGTGCATGATTTGAGCATGGTTTAGTTTTGTGAAATTAAGCCTAAGAAAAAAACCACGAATCATATTCGAGCATAGATATGTTTTATTTATAAAGACATATAAACAATATATGAAATTCATGTTGCAACACAACCAAATGCTTCGTCTGTTTAGGCTGTTGTTTTGACAACGAATACCATTGCAGTACTTTGATCAAGTAGTTTTCCACAGTTGTACAATCATGTGAATTGTGCAATAACGAAGCCAAAATCCTCAATACATATTTTCCAAAAATATATCACATCATCCACTACTGTTTCTCCACATAGCATCAGTTAAAATGAGGGAAAGTTAATTCATAAACGACAGTGCTGCAAAAACACTCTTGAAGTTGGAACGCATTCTCGTAATCTCTCTCGTTATTTTCTGGTTCGCTGAATGTTGCATAGTAGGCCTATAGGCTACACAAGAATACGAAATAGATCATTCAAAACTTTTGCAAGGGTGACGTTTTTATAGCCACACATAAAATGTCAAACTGTCGATTGAAACATGGTCAGACACTGCCACAGCAATTCACTGTGGGGAGAGTGTAGCAAAAGAGAAACACTTTTAAGTGCAAACAGCTATTTGTCAGCTCCAACCCTAATCTAGCCTGAGTAAACACCAGTGTTGTTTTTTATGTTTTTGTTAAATCTGGAGGAAACATCGCAGCAGTTATTTAGTTTAGGATTTACGCATTAGACTTTAGACAGAGAGAGAGACCAACATATGGATGCAAGTGGGTGAAGTTCAGGTATAGGCTATACAAAGAAAACGTTATCAAGGCTTGTCGTTATGGTGCTTGAAGAGACTTGCAGGTGTCCCCGAGTATTTCTCGGCGCAGGTGGCGAGTGCCGAGCCCGTGAAGGGGTATACGGCAGCCTGTCCAAAGGGTGCAATAGGTGTGGGGATGGGCGAGGTGATGCTCTGTCCCTGGTTCAGATAAGCCACCAGCCGCCTCATCTCCTCCAGAGCCTGTGCCTGCATGAGGATGTAGTTCTTTGCCAGGAGGAGAGTGGCTATTTTGGACAGTTTCCTCACCGACGGGCTGTGCGCATATGGGATCACAGAGCGGAGGCCGTCCAGTGCGTCGTTCAGGTCGTGCATCCGTCTCCTCTCGCGCGCATTGATGCTCAGGCGCAGAGACCGCTGCTCTTTGGGCTTCTTGGAAAGAGGACCCCCGTGTTTGTCATCGTCGAATGCCGAGCCCCTCTTCCGGGGGTCCAGAGGGTCAAAACGGTCGTCGTCGTCATCGCTGGTCTGCTCCCCGCCACTCTCGTTGGACTTGCCTGTCTGACCGGAGAGGAAGTCGGCGGCCGGTGTGAGAGGATATCGCCCTCCAGGACTTCCAGTAACCTGGCCAGGTCCAAAGCCGAAGGCGGACTGGCCGTATCGCTGTGTCAGGTCCAGTAAAGTGTCGTTGCTGATGGACTTCAGCAGATTCTCTTCCCCGGCATTCATTTTATCTTCCAAAATAAGAAGGACTAATACAACATGCAGTTCGGTCAAAACTTAACTTATCCTCTTCTGCTCTGTCGTTATTGTGTTTTGGAGAGGGTTCGCACACTCTCCCCGAGTCCTTCTTGTCAACACACTTTCTCTGTGGCTCTTCAGAACAGTTGCAGTGAATGGACTCGGCCTCTTGCTGTATCCAGCACCTCTTGACGTTCCCCCGGCGCGCACATACGTTTAAAACACTTCTCTAATTGTGTGTTTTGCGAAGCGACATTAAACCCAAGTAAATACAGGCCTGGATGAGAGACTGGAGCGCGTGCCTCCTTGCCGGGTTCCTTGCGTGCTTCTTGCCCTCGCCCTGGGCAGATTGTGACTCGCGCTCCATCCCACTCGCACGTTAGTAGGAGCGCAAAGCCCGCCGGGATTATCTAACTGTCCAATCAGGGAGGCGTTTTAATTACTACAGTATAGGGTAGAAAGCTGGTATGGTCCTAATTTCTATCAGAATAATGATAATTGCAAGACAAATAGCTTTCGTCTATAATTTCGAGTTAGTCTATGTTTGACAAATTGTGGTGGGCTTCCTTTCATTGTCCCCATAAAACACCCATAAACCCAGAGTGAAGATAATCCTTAGAGAATGTCGGAAACTGCACCTTTAGGCTACTTTAGGCAGGCTGCAAACAGGCTATGACTGTAACACCTTCTTGTTGTTTTGACAGTAACAGGCTATACTGTAAAACTAACACTAAAGTACTGTATTAATGATTTACAGTAAATTGCCATGAATGGCAATGAACTCTGGATGATGTTTGGCCTAAACACTAAATCATACCCTCAATTCCAAAGAAATGTTGGTTTAACAGTACATTACTGTAACTGCACAGCATTGTGGGATTGGCAACTGGCAACTTTTTCAAACCGTTCTGATTGATAGGATTGAGAGACATTAGGGATTACAGTATTGCACTGTACTGTTGTTTTATGGTAATTTACAGGCAGCCAGTTGCCTATAAATTACCCTAAAAACAATGGTTAAAAAAATTACAGTAACAGTATTAGATACTGTATAATACGGTATGGTAACATCCAATACCTTATTTTAGGTAATTTACAGGCAACCGGCTGCCTGTAAGTAACTGTAAAAACAACAAGAAAGGTTTTACAATGTAGGCTACATTTTATTTATACAATATCAGAAGTTTATATGTTCACAATGTTATGCAAATCCAACTCCTCAAAAACCCTGCAGGTGAAGTGTTCCAATTCAGATTTGATGCATTTTATGGAATACAATTCAACTCCAAATGTGGAAAGTTCAGCTCCAGATATGAAGATAAGAACGCTTTATTCATGTTAATGAAGCAGAGCGATAGAGACTGATTCTTCCTGGTTGGCATGTGCATTGTTTGTATAGACTCAGAGGGGTAATAGCATACAGCTCCTACATGCATGCCAAATAGCCTACAGTTGAATACCACAAACACATTGTGTAGTAGGCTATATTTGACAATATATCTCTGTAGGTATACTGCACGGTGGTCCACAATGAAACACAGTGACATTTTATGTCTTGAGCTACAATAAACTAAATGAGAAGTGGATGAGTACCCAACAATAGCTTACATGAGGCCCATGCACGCTGGCAGAAGAAAAACAACACTCGTACAGTCAATTTTCACAATGAAAGATTAGTGTTTTTCAGGACCATGAACAGCTCCAGTGACGCGTACTTCAGCCCAGAAAGAGGAAGACGGAGCGAGCGAGCGAGCGAGAGAGAGAGAGAGAGCCGCACCCGGTGGGTAGTAGCCTAATAATTGCGTAGCCTGGCCGGGCTCCAGAATCAAGGCTTATCAGAGGAAGGGAGGCCCAAGGCGGGGTGGTTCACCTTGCACATTAGCAGTATCAATACCAAATGCGCTCACGGACAGGGGCGACGGGAAAACATGGCATAGCACTATTGGATTTCTGGAATATATTCAGTTTCTTGCTAACTTTGTTGCATCATCACAATAAATAGCCTAGTTTTTCCCAAACATTTATTACAGGGACATAATGATTAGCTATATAAAAAAACATATATCGAACTAAGTAACAGAAGCGTTGTGAAAGTGCCATCTCAAATATACTCTCCATGTTTGTAATTTATGCTTTCTAAGACAGTTGACTAAAAGTAACAGATGATAACCCAAACAGTGAGCCCAACATCCGAAGCAGTAAAGCTAAAAGCTCACCATTAGCAGATCCCAATCATATCGTTTTTCTAGTTTATGGTTTCAAGATAAGTTACCTGGTCACCTTTGCTTGGTCTTTTGGGGATTTAAGTCCTGGTTGAAGTTAAATTTACTTGATACAAAGCATTTCAATCGAATTGTTGATCGCTTTATCCTCTACAAGTCTCCTATCCCATCACTCCAGGCCTGCTGAAGCACCACTTCTACTGACCAGATCCTAGTAGGAGATGGAAACACTGCCACCTTCTGTTGCGAATTACTCATTACACTATGGTTGTCTGAGCGCAACAAGCACATTGGAAAAAGGGGGTTTCGTGGTCAAACTACTTGAGTTTATGGAATGTTCATAATGTTTATAACAGGTGTAAATTGCCAACCGTGGCTTTATACCTGTTCAAACAACAGACTACAGGTGACAGTATGTACCCTTTCAGTTTGTATACCAACTCATAGAAGTAGTAGAAGGAGAAAATTGACTACTTCAAAATGGAGATGGCCTTAATGGCCCAGCCAATGCGCTCACAGACGCCATAATGGGACAGACAACGTTGCGATCTCTAAAGCTGCAATACAAATTTAAACTTCCTCAAAAAATATTTTAAACTAATTTCGATAGTTGGTCAAGTTTGTACGGATACTGTCAAAATAATCACTGGACTTTAGTTACTCAGAACTGGAATTATTTCCTCAAATCTCACCACATTTGTTTCTGTTTGCTGTAACATAGCCAATGAAGTTGTATTGTATTCCATTGGCTCAGACGCGGACTGATTACCAGCTGTGAACAAACCCACCTGTGGCTTGAAGGGGATAAATAAGAAATATCAGAGTTGGAAATGCAGATATTATTGCAAAAATACAAAATTGGAAATGAAAATGTACAGGTTCTTCTCAGGTATCGATGCTACCAAACTTAGTTTGGAGTTTTGTTAGGAAGTTTCAGCTGCAGTGCAGCTTTGCTAACTGGGATATTGAATTACATTCATTTTTTAGGACGATGCTAAATCATGCTAACTACTGCCTGTAGCAAAAATAGGCCTGAACAATGGATTATCGTGGATACTGTCACTACACAGTAAATTTGAAAGTGCTAAATAAACACTTTAAGTGTTACATTTAACACTGTCAGCGAGTCAATATGGTCCTGCTCTACACAGAGTAAAAAGTACACTAATCAAAGTGTTACATTTATAGTGTTGATTTAACACTGAGGAGTGCAAAAAGTTAACACTGGCCGGTTTTGATCAAATGTAACACTAAGAGGTAATCAACACTTTGAGTGTTATAGTGACACTCACTAGTGTTGATCTAGGGTGACTGCTATTAGAGGAAACGTGTTTACTCTATTCAGTGTTAATTGATTTACTATTCCCCCATGTAAATAGAAAATATATTTTGTAAAAGCACATTGGAATTTCACAATGAACTCAAGCAAAGCTGTTTCAACATTCAAATATGTTTTATTATGACCAAACCATAAGTCTCAGCCCTGGCTTAAACTGTTATCAAGTGACAGTACAATGTAGTCAAAATAATCCCTTGCTCCATATGACATGAGCAAATCAATAGGTTTGTTGGAAAAGGATGCCATTTACATTAAAAACAAATATGTTTCTCACAACCTAACCATAAGTCTCAGCCCTGGCTTAAACTGTTATCAAGTGACAGTAGGGGACAATGTAGTCCAACAAATCCCTTGCTCCACATGACATGAGCAAATCAAAAGGTTTGTGGTACATGATGTCATTTTCAGTGGGGAAAAAAAGTATTTAGTCAGCCACCAATTGTGCAAGTTCTCCCACTTAAAAAGATGAGAGAGGCCTGTAATTTTCATCATAGGTACACGTCAACTATGACAGACAAAATGAGATTTTTTTTCTCCAGAAAATCACATTGTAGGATTTTTTATGAATTTATTTGCAAATTATGGTGGAAAATAAGTATTTGGTCAATAACAAAAGTTTCTCAATACTTTGTTATATACCCTTTGTTGGCAATGACACAGGTCAAACGTTTTCTGTAAGTCTTCACAAGGTTTTCACACACTGTTGCTGGTATTTTGGCCCATTCCTCCATGCAGATCTCCTCTAGAGCAGTGATGTTTTGGGGCTGTCGCTGGGCAACACGGACTTTCAACTCCCTCCAAAGATTTTCTATGGGGTTGAGATCTGGAGACTGGCTAGGCCACTCCAGGACCTTGAAATGCTTCTTACGAAGCCACTCCTTCGTTGCCCGGGCGGTGTGTTTGGGATCATTGTCATGTTGAAAGACCCAGCCACGTTTCATCATCAATGCCCTTACTGATGGAAGGAGGTTTTCACTCAAAATCTCACGATACATGGCCCCATTCATTCTTTCCTTTACACGGATCAGTCGTCCTGGTCCCTTTGCAGAAAAACAGCCCCAAAGCATGATGTTTCCACCCCCATGCTTCACAGTAGGCATGGTGTTCTTTGGATGCAACTCAGCATTCTTTGTCCTCCAAACACGACAAGTTTTTACCAAAAAGTTCTATTTTGGTTTCATCTGACCATATGACATTCTCCCAATCCTCTTCTGGATCATCCAAATGCACTTTAGCAAACTTCAGACGGTCCTGGACATGTACTGGCTTAAGCAGCGGGACACGTCTGGCACTGCAGGATTTGAGTCCCTGGCGGCGTAGTGTGTTACTGATGGTAGGCTTTGTTACTTTGGTCCCAGCTCTCTGCAGGTCATTCACAAGGTCCCCCCGTGTGGTTCTGGGATTTTTGCTCACCGTTCTTGTGATCA